AGCACAGAGGGAGCTGTCAAAATTGTTGTCTAGCGAAAATCAATTTGCGAAGCAGGAACCAAACATTGTCCAGCGAAATTCCCCCACAGGAATCACTGTTTTGCGACTCACTATAGCGATCGCAAAAAGTCAATGTCTAGCAAAAAAACCTGTCATGCGGGGTAACTGTCTAGCGAGGCGCCACTGTATTTCCAGTCTCTGAGTATGCCATAGGCAGCTTAGCGGCTGGAATCGGGGTGTGTGTGCCTCACCCCAAATTTTTGGGGAATGGGAAAACACCCTTGTCCCTGTCGTTAGCTGTCACTTGGGTATACTCCTCCTAAGCATGAGACTTAACTTGGATTTCCATTCTCCTTATAAACTCTTCTTTTGTGACTCTGAGCCCATAGATTGTTATCTTGAGTCTAATTTGAGCTAGGAAAAGTCACGTCTTGGACTACATCTCCCAGAATTCCTAGCAGCCTGTTTATGACCATGTTGGTTGATAGATTCTGGGAGTTGTAGTCCAGAAAGTGACTCCTCCAAGCCGCTAAGCCTGCCTTGAGAATATATTCTGATTTTATAGACACGAGAAACAGGGAACTGCCTTGAAATGAATGAGGCCAGTGGCCCAGCAAGCAGAATGGGCTCCTGTCACCGGAGTGGCTGCTGATGCCCTCCTTTACCCCAAAAGCTGTCTGACCCTTTTAACGAAGCGGTGGATATAGTGTGTGGTTCTTCATTTGTTGGACCTTGAGCATATATTCTGCCTTGGAATGGCCAAAATCCTGTTGTTTGTTTGTTTGTTTGTTTGTTTGTTTGTTTGCCTGCCTTGGTTGGTTGGTTGGTTGGTTGGTTGGTTGGTTGGTTGTCTGTCTGTCTGTCTGTCTGTCTGTCTGTCTGTCTATCTATCCATCCATCCTTAAAAAGGCCCCAAGGTGACTTACAGTACATCATTAAAAGGCAACATTTAAAATATTAAAACAGTAAGTGTACAAATACTGAAAAGAATAAAACAAATACCACTCTAAAAATAATAAACAAAATCCACGCCAAAGACAGATTTAAAGCAACAAGGCACAACATTCCACTTAAAAACCCTTCCCAGGCAGCCGGTCATTAAGGGGAGGCATATCTGAAGAGAAATAATGGTCTTTGGCCACTTGCAAAAGGACAGCAAAGACGGGACCAGCCTGGCCTCCAGTGGGAGGGAGTTCCAGAGTCTGGAAACAGCCGCAGAGAAGGCCCCGTCCTGTGTCCCCACCAAACATACCTGTGAAAGTGGCTAGCATAGTAAGTCGTGCTAAAGGAGGCCTATTAAATCAATGGTGAGTCAACTGCTTTGTTAGTTTCATTGATTCAAATCGGCCTGTTCTGTGACTTTCCTATTATTTTACTCTTTAAAAACTGTTGTGGGGACTTAAATATATGATCCCTGATCAATCAAGAAAAGGCACGTAAGTAACAAACAAACAAACAAACAAACGAAAGCCAGTGTTTAATATACCCTCCGTTCCTTTTGAGCTAAATCTTCCCTCACCCAAAATTGTTATTAGCCACAGAGCAGAAAAAAAATTGCTTCAGTTGCAAAACACAAGAGTTTGTGCTTTGTTTTTCTTTATTGTACGGCGGTAACATTTGAACAGGATCCATTCTTTGTATGTAATGGCATGTCTGCAATTGAGGGTGGAACGTTTGGCAGGAGTCTCAACTATTTTCAGCGTTTGTGGTTGAAGTTTATCAATTGTTGCCAGTATATAGTATACATATGTATTATATTACCAGAAAATACAGATTCTTGGTGCTTGTGTGTGCACGCGTGTGTTTCTCTCTCTCCTCCCCTTCTTTTAAAAATCAGCTGTATAAATAAACCCTCAGGTTAGTGTGAGCTGAATGTTCAGAGAGGATAGGTAATTATTTCTGTTGTGCCGAGGCTTTGAGTTTCCCTGGGTGTAATGCAGGCCTCTGTGAGCATGGAATGCTGGTCTGTGTTATTAATTACTTTATTTCTTCATTATTATTATTATTATTAAAATCTTTCCTTCCCTGGTACATGGCTCTCTTTACAGGCACCCCAAGGAAGGTAAGGTAAGGCCAAGAGAGAGGGAATGACTGATGTCAGTGAGTCTCGTGGCTTAATGGAAATTTGGATCTCACCGTCCAACAGCAAATGGATTGATTTTTTTAAAGATGGTGATGCTGTAGCAGAGACAGACAGGATAGGAGACAATATCTTTAGATCCCTAGACAGCCTGGCATCAGCTCATGACCTGAAAGCAGCTGCCTTTCCATCCTGAGATGAGTGTCAAGGCAATGTTTAGATAGCCTTGGTTTGCAAGTTAAGGCCAACCTTGGAATAAGATAAGGCCCTTTCCGTAATTCACTTTCAAGCGCCCCCCCCATCTGCATGGACACAATACACACACATACACACACAGAGGCATCCAAGTTGTGTCCTATATGTGTCTTGAGGAGATGGGACTGAGAGCAGCAGCTAAATTATGCTAAAGGGTCACAGTGAGGAAAGAAATGTAGTCTCCACAGGTTTTGGTGTTGTTCCCGAGCCAAAACGGAAGGATCTTTGGAGATCTGTCATGTGAATGCCTGATGTTCGTTTGTTCGCATTCCTGTTCCACCTTTCCTCTGGAGAACGTAAAGCAACATGTGTGGCTTTCCCTCCATTTTATTCTCACAACAGCCCTGTGAGGTGGGTCAAGCCGAGAGAGCGGGTAGCCCAAAGGCACCCTGTGAGCTTTCTAGCCAAGGAGGGGTTTGAACCCAGGTCTCCCAAGTCCAGCATGCCCACCCCTACGAGACATGCCACTGGCTCTTCTTAAAAATTGTGCATGCAGGAGAGCTAGCAGAGTTTAGAACAACTGTGATGGAAGGGTGGTGGATTTAGTCCTTCTTCCCTTTTCTGAAGGCTCTGAAAAAGCTGCCAATAGCTTCGTGGCAATCAAGTGTGAAAGCATTCCTGGGACGCCTCATGTCTTCCGCTTTTGGCCCACTGCCTCCCTCTGCCTATTTGTTAGGTGTAGAGACTTGCAAGGTTTCGGGAGGGTGAAAAGATACTACAGCAGAGAAAGTCCAGCAGGGAAATGGGCTGTAATGATGCAGATGAATTAGCTTCTGAGTTCATTCGTGAATTACTGGTCCTAGAGGCATAGCTTTAGAGAGAGAGAGAGAGCCTTTCCAAACATTGCTCTTTGATGCATTTAAAAAAATTTATTTCCAAGATTTTTTAGCCGCAGCATTACCAGTGGTCTCTTTTTCCCTAATTAGCAAATTTATCTTCCTTATGAATCTAAGTAATGCAACATTGGGGGGGGGTGTTTAACTGACTGTTTGGAATACTGTACCTTGCAGTTCGATAGCCCCTTCAGAGCGCTCTAAATGGGGCACAAGCTGGACCTCCAGACGCATTTCTTAAGTTGGCTTCCCATCACCCAGGAGGCATCTGAGGTTGCTAGGCAACCGGCACCACAAACCCCAATTTCTAGCCCATCCATTTGAGATTAACAATGGGTTGCCTATCAGATGGTTTGCTTAATTAAACTGACCCTTGATTTAGCCTTTCCTTTAACGTAGCAGAATATACAGGTCAGTCACATCGCTTCTTTTGCTGAATGTATGTTTGTTGACATACAGTATTTAGTTTTCTCTGGTGGTGGATTTTTAACATGTATTTATTGGTATTAGCTAGAAATAGACACAGCAGTGATTAGAGCCAATGGACTTGGTCAACGGTGGCTGTCATGTTTACAAGAATGGCTAATCGTTTGAGATTAATCATTTCTCCTCATATACCAGCCATGATGGTGATAGAAGGCCTAACAACTAGGAGTGCGCAGAGCCAGGAGCAAAAATGGGTATTCTAACCCACACACAAGGAAATAAGCAAGGTTGGGACTTTGAGTCTGGGTTATGGATGGCTCCCATTTGCCCTAATGGATACAGTGGTGCCTCGCTTGACGACGATAATCCGTCCCATTGAAATCGCTGTTTAGCGAAATCGTCGTCATGCAAAATCCATTTCCCCGTTAGAATGCATTGAAACCTGGTTTGATGCATTCCAATGGGGAAAATACGTCATCGTCCAGCGAAGATTGCCCATAGGGAAGCCATTTTGCTAACACCGATCAGCTGTAAAAATGGCTGCCCTGCGAAGCATGTGTCCGGAAAACACAGGGCAGCCATTTTGCGAAGCCGACGATCAGCTGTAAAAATCGTTGTCTTGCGAACAAACGGTTCGCGAAGCACAGACCTAATCAGCGTCCAGCGAAAATCCCCCATTGGAATTACTGTTTTGCGAATCGCTATAGCAATCGCAAAAAGTCATCGTTATGCGGGGTCGTCGTTTAGCGGGGTTGTCATCTTGTGAGGTACCACTGTACGATCATTGTCCACATATGCACAGACTCACACTTAGGATAGAAAAGAGCCCAGCAGTGGTCCCTGAAACTGGAGATGGTGCAGAAAATGGCAACGTAACATGCTAAAGTGGCTCTAACCCCTCCCATGTAAGGAAAACTGGAAACTGGGCAGGTTTGACAGAGGTGTATGAAACGGTGCAGAGTAAATAGTCAGTGGCCATCACCATATCATGGGGAAGTGAATTTCACAAAATTTCACTTCCCAATAGTCGCCAATTTAGACAAGCATTCCAAGGGGGCAGGACCTCAATATGGAGAAGTTTCTCAGTAGTTACTAGTCTTGCTAGCAGTATTTCACCTCTAGGATTCAGGGCCCCAGGGAATGAGTAGGAAGGTGCCCATGCATTGAGGTCCCACATGTGGGTGTCATTTTGGGGCAGCTCCTTAGGTCGTGTAGAAGCAGCCTTTGGTCCCATCGTGATCCCTCTGTCCTTCTGAGGGATTATGCAGCTATTTGGATCTCAACTCAGACAGAGCTTCATGTCTCCATAGCTGCTGCCCAGGGAGTGAGCTTCGAGAGAAGCTTCCAAGTTAGCGTGTCTCCTTGCGAGGAGACCTACCAAGACTCGTTTCGGGCAACCCTCCTAAACCTGGGTTTTGTTGTTCTTTTTGCCTCGGCAGGCAGTTCCATACCCAACGAATACAGTGACCGAGGACATTTATACCAACGGCTCAGCCACCCTGGGCAGCCCGGCGCATGCAAATGGCCGGGAAGTGCGGAAAATGAGGTTCATCCAGTTTGAGAAGGTCACGGAGGAGCCCATGGTGAGCTGGAAGGACGTCAGGGATAGTCTCCTAAGCCTTGGTGGTTCCAGCGGGTGGGAGAAAGCCCTGCTGTGGTAGAACCAGGAGCAAGGGGGGAGAAAATATTGGGGCAGGTCTGGACCGACCCTCCTGCAGGACAGGATGGGAACCTGCTTTGGACCATCGGGTGTAGTTGAGGGTCTTATTTCCCCCCTCCCTAGATAAGCTCCAAGCTCGTTGCTTTCTTAAAGTTGACCCTTGAGCAGGAGAAGATGAAGGCTTCTTGCTTTGCTTATTCTGGTGCTCCTTGTAGCCACGAGAACAGCTTCTTAAGGCAAACATCTGGATCAGGGGAGGCAATCGGATGTCCCGGGATGTTCTTTTGGGACCACAACTCCCATTTGACCATGGGCTGTTCTGCCCTGGGGTTTATGGGATTTGTAGTCTAGAACATCAAGGGAGTGCCCCATTGCCACCCTTGACCTGGACAGGAGAGGATGATATTAAACAGGATTGAAGTGGGCCAGGATGGAATCAGCCAGAGATCTGTTCCCCCTGGATAAAACGTAGCCAAAGAAGAGAAGCCTCCTCAGAGAAACCCAAGTTTATGTTTTTGGACTACAATTCCCAGAGTCCCCCGGCTAGTATGCGGAATGATGGGAATTGTACTCTCCAAAAAGTAAAGCTTTCCTGTCTGTTCCAGGGCATCACGTTGAAGCTGAATGAGAAGAAGAGCTGCATGGTGGCCCGGATCCTCCATGGGGGCATGATTCACAGGCAAGGTAAAGCGCTCGAGCAGGCATAGACAATTCTCCTTAGGAGAAATCCACCTCTTAATTGCCATGCCAACTCTTGAGGCAATGTCTCTCTCCCACCTCAAACTCCTAAAATGTCATTCTCTTTCGCTGAATCGAAACGGTGCGTGTCCGTTTTGGGATCGCCACTCCCCGGATCCACAGCCATGTGCCCTGTTGGCTGGGGATTCTGGGAACTGTAGTTCAGTTTCCCAAGCCCCATGTTTTAAGCATTGGGGATTTTCCAAGAACCTGCTGAGATGCTGGTGGGATGATAACTCCACCCCTGCTTGACCCTAAGTCAGTCCTTTAAGCCCTACTGATCCGGGAGGTGAGCTGTATGATGAAGGTGGGCCAGTGGCATCATCACGGCTGCTGGGAAGCAGGTATTCTCCAGTGGCTGTTGTGCTGAGAGTCAAGGGTGTCTGCCTTGCCCATGGGAGTTGGTGGTCAGGCTTCCCAGAATCCCAAGTGGGGCAGGGATCTCAGGGAACGGGTGCTTGCAAGGGCCGGCCCCGAAGCCATTCCTCCTGACCCTGTGACTCTTGTCTGTCTCACGGAGGACAAAGCACTGTGCCCCACACATCATGTCTTGGCAAGAACTTGGAAAAACGACCGTTTTGGATTGTGTCTTTCAAGCCAGCATTGCTGGTTGAGGGATTCTGGATGGAGGATACAATCCCAAAGCCTTAACTGCACCAAGCTCTGACCCTTCGTCCCTTAAAAAGGCGTCTATCGTGATGGGAGGACCTTGTCCCTTGGCATCGGAATGGGGGAGGCAGTGGCATGCTTTTGGCCAGCCAGCTGTGGTTGCTTTTTGGCAGGCAGGCATCTATCTGCCCATTTTCACCTTTCCTGCATTCCTCTCTCCTCCCCTGGCAGGCTCCCTTCATGTGGGCGATGAGATCCTAGAGATCAATGGGAAGAGTGTGGCCAACCACTCGGTAGACCAGCTCCAAAAGATCTTGGTAGGTACACCTGGGGCAAAAGAAGGGGAGGGGGAGCAGAAATCCATGCTGCCATATTTCTGAGACAGGAAGAGAATGAATAAATCAATACAAACCACACCCTTCTAGACAGGATTAGGGTGGAGAGTTATAGAAGCCACATGCTGTTGGACTATAACTCCCATCGGTCACTCCCAGTTGACTATACCGGCGAGCGCTGATGGAATGTAGAGTTGTGAACGTTACACTTCTGGGTTACACAACTCCCAGATACCCCCTGCCATTATGGCTACTGGCTTGGGGATTCTGGGAATTGTAGTTTAAAAAAACGACGACTTCCCCAAGCCTAGAAATTGACCCGTGTTTCCTTCCTAGCCTCTGTCAAGGAGGCACCGTGGGGGAATCGAACCCTCAGCCTCTGGATCCGCAGCCAGAGGCTGAAACCAATGAGCTGTCCAGCAGTATAGCTGATAGATCAAAAGTGTTTTGTGGGTCTCTGCTTTCCATTTTGATGTCCAGGTAAAGCTAAAAACCAGGGTCTGGAGCTCTGCGATATAGCTAGTTCTTTTTCCAGAGGTGTTTGCCTAATTCTGGGAATTGTAGTTTAAAAAAACGACAACTTCCCCAAGCCTAGAAATTGAACCGTGTTAGTTTCCTTCCTAGCCTTTTTCCAGAGGTGTTTGCCTGTGGAAAACATTTTAGAGCTCAAAACAGGGGAGAATGGCACTAGGACGGAGCATCCCGTTAAAACGAGATGCTGCCACCAACCACGCTTCCTTGCGGGGGATGGAGTACCAGAGCATGCCTGGTATGGAAGTCCTGCGTTGCCATTTTCTAACTTGGACCCCTCCAGAGCTTTAGGATGACAAGTCTCATCCTTCCAAACCATCACGATTTAGGACAAAATACGATGCGGGAAATTGGTGAAGAGTTTCAGGATTACACCCCTGTTCTTTGCCAAGGGTTTGTCTGCAGTGATGGCTGTCCAAGCATGGAGAATGACATGGGTGGAGCTTTCTAAACTCCATGGGATGTGCAAAAGATTAGGGGATGGTAGTTTTTAGAGAGTTACCCTCCTCAGAGCCTAATAAACAGATACACTACTGTCCGTCGCCCCCCTGCCCTTTGCAGTTCCCATGGAGTTCTACCCATAGTCTTCTCCATGCTCTGATGGCCATCATGGCAGGCAAAGCCTTCACAAAGCATAGGTGTGTATCCTGAAACACTTCTGAGAACTTGGGATTGTTTAGCTAAAGCAAACAGGATTCAAGCTGAGGGACTTCCTGCTGAATTCTGGCAGCTGGAAGAATTAATAAATCCAAATATTCCATGACTGTGGATCACTCACGTATATCAAGACGCACAGACTTTCCACCCCCCTGTTTTGTGGGGAAAAGTGCGTCTTATGGTGCGAAAAATACGGTAATAAATTCAAATATTCCATGACTGTGGATCACTTACATATATAAGCTTAGTTTCCTAGGATCACACCCACTCTGGCTTGTGAGATACCTTTTCTGTGCCTTTGGGAAGATAAGGATGTCTTTGCTCTCTCTCTCTCTCCTTCTTAATGACACGTGAGGGCAGAAAAGAAAAGCTAGTTAAAGATTTGCTACCTTTAGGTCCTTCTTGAGGATGCGTTTGCAGGTCAAGGCTCCTAATACTGGGAAGAGCCCTTTGGTTTTCTGTTTGACTGAGAACTGCAAAGTATGCCAGAGACTGACTCTCTTCCTTTCCTGTTATTCGCTAGAAAGAAACCAAGGGAACAGTTTCCCTAAAGGTCCTTCCCAACCAGCAGAGCCGAATTCCTGCCCTTCAGGTAGGTGGGAGTTTCCACCTTCAGACCACTCTGAGTCGGTTGGAGCATTGCTTTGTCTCGGTTTTCTGGACCTTAAAATCAAAGTTCCGCACCTTCAAATGAGCTAAATTTCCACCAGGGAAACACGTCTTTTATGGGCTGTATGTGACATGGATGCGTGCGTGCCCACTTCTTTTTTGGCAATTTGGGATAAGGAAGTTATCCGAGTAGTTCTGGCTGGCTGTAGGGCAAGAGGAGGCTAGACTGAACCCCTTCCTGTTGCCTTCCGTTGGCAGCTAAATACTTTTTCATTTAGGCAAACTTGTGGCCATTGCTTGACTGTTGTGGATGAGTCTTCATACGAATCATATCTTTTTCTTAGAGATTCTGTTTTCACCTTGGTTTCAGCTGGTCTTCTGCATTGATCCTGCTTAACAAGTGAATGGCATCCTGTCTGGGTTTTTATTATATTCCTTGGTTCAATATTATTTTGACCATCATGAGTGCCAACAGTGGGCGAAAGGTGGGGACATAAAGCCAGAGAATCAATATTGCTGGGCAAAAGAGTGAGGGTCAGGTTGGCAGTTTGGGATGCATATATGTGGGGAACACCTGTACCCTTCAGATAGAGTTGTTTTGAGCAGGTGAGGTTTGCAAGGAGTCACACCATAGCAGGAATTCTTCCTCTCCCTCTTTCAGGCTGGGTTCGTCACGGGCCGGTTTTGCGTAGGATCAGGGAATGGTCTTCTGCATTGATCCTGCTTAACAAGTGAATGGCATCCTGTCTGGGTTTTTATTGTATTCCTTGGTTCAATATTATTTTGACCACCACGAGTCCCAACAGTGGGGAAAAGGTGGGGACATAAAGCCAGAGAATCGATATTGCTGGGCAAAAGAGTGAGGGTCAGATTGGCAGTTTGGGATGCATATGAAACTCACCGTCCAGCGAAGAGCCTCCATATGGCGGCCATTTTCAATGCCTGTATAGCGATGAATCCGTCCCTAAACACAGCAGGGAGCCATTTTAATTACCCGGCAGCCATTTTGAAACTGCCGATCAGCTGTTAAAAAAACATCATTTTGCGAAGAATCAGTTCCCGAAGCAGGGAACTGATCATTGCAAAGCAAAAAAACCCTATTTAGACCATCGTTTTGCTATCGCAAAAACGTCGTCGTGAAGCGGATTTGTCATAATGCGGGGCACAACTGTATTAGAAGGAGAGTTGTTATAGGATATAAAAAACTATTTTTAAAATCCCTTTGCATTTGACAAAGCAGCTTGTTGTTATTTTGTAACTGATAACTGGAGATAGCACAGATTTCATGGGCACTGCCTGATTTCTTGCGCAGAAAGTTTTGAAATAATGATGTGCCTAGAGAGAAAGCATGATAAGGAGAGACGCCCTTCTCTTAATGTTTGGTCTGAGTTGTTAACACTTCTAGCAGTGGGCAGGGTGGTGGTATGGATGTCAGTAGGGTACCAGGCGAACACCGAAGTTGCTCACCTGCCCCTTATCTTCCTAGTTCATGCATTCCAGAAGGGAAGAGGGTTGGAGACAGGCGGTCTTCCCTTGGGAAACTCTTCTAGATCTTGGCCACCACAGCCCAAAGGGAGCCCCTAAGCAGGGCTTCAGAGGACGAGCAAGGCTTTTTGGGAAGCAAGCTGGTGTGTAGGGAAAGCTATTTGTGTGCCCCTTGCATCGTTTTCCTTGTCCGAATGATTCTCCAGTTGGGCCAGCGAATATTCAGATCAAATACTACCCCACCCTGTAAGCACCATATAACCGGACCCACTGCAGCTGTTATCATTTTGGGCTTTTGCAAGTCGTTTCCCAGGCACACCCAAGACCGCAGAATACCATTCTCATGCACCAGTTTGCAGTGTAGGGGCGGGAGACAGCTGTTATTGCATCATGCAACCACCATGTGACAAACAGAAATCTGTCTGGAGAAGCTTTTCCTAGCTTGGGAAATCCACTGATGAGTAAACCTCCCTTTTTCTGCATTTCCTTTGGAAGAAGCTAGTTCTAAAATCTTGACGAGACAGACAAGACGAGGTGTGTGGGGGGAGAGAAAGTGGCCACGTCTGCAGCTGACGGATGGGGATTGTAGGAACAGTGGATGTGGGCTCATTGGCTATGGCCGGGGGGAAGAGTTTAAATCTTGTCCCCATGCTCAGGAGTTGCTTGTATTAATCTAGGGAGTGCAGGTGGGGGCTGGAGGTTAGTGGCAAAGAACACACTGTGTGTGTAGAAGGTCTCGGCTTCAATTCTGGTGCCATCTCCTGCCAAAAGGGAAAGATTCGGGGGTGGGGGGCAGGCAGTGGGACAGCTCTCTGCCTGAGATTTTAGGACGTTGCAGCTGCTCTGAACAGAGCATACTGGGTGGGAGAGAAAAATAGCATGGTGTGGCATGAGTCAGTTTCCATTATTTTCATTTATTGCTTAATCATGTTCACGTTCTGCCTTTTCTCCACTGATCTCAAGGCAATGTCTGTGGGTCTCCACTTCCCCTCTTTATTCTCATAACTCCCCTTTTCCATAGTTCACACCAGAAGGGACATCGTCCCAAGGCCAAGCAGGGAGGGAGGGAGTTCTGTGGCTTTCTGGGGACTTCAAACTGGGGTTTGCAAGGCCCAGTCTGACCTCTGACCACTGCACTGCAGCCTGCAGAGTGATTCATTTTTGAGAAGTCGGCTTCCAGAACCTCCCACCCGGCCACTGGGATTCTAGGAGTTGTAGTCTCTCCCCCCTCCCCGCCAAGCCCTGGTTTAATCTCTCACCCCTCGGAGCGAGAGAGCTGCTTTGGAAACTGGAGTTTACCGACCAGGTGAGCGGTAACCCTTTCTGTCTTCCTCCAGACCTTCATGAGAGCTCAGTTTGACTACGACCCCCAAAAAGACAGCTTGATCCCTTGCAGAGAAGCTGGGCTGAAGTTCCAGACCGGAGACGTCATCGAGATCATCAACAAGGACGACAGTAACTGGTGGCAAGGCCGGGTGGAAGGTTCCCCCAACGGATCAGCCGGTCTCATCCCCTCTTTGGAGCTACAAGAATGGTAGGCTCTTGGTGGTGATGCCTCGCAGTTGACCGGCCCCTTCCCCTCTCCGTGGCTCCATGGCGGGATGTCTTTAGTCTGGCTCCTTTTCCTGGAACGACACATTTTTTTAAAGAAGTAGGATGTGGACAAATGAGTGGAATAAAAGAAGTCAGGTTTTAAAAAGGCCAAGAAAAGGAAGAAGAACAAAATACTCTTGCTGGGTCCTAATGTGACATCAAGGCACCAGCGGAGTTTTCCTAGTTTAGCATTGCATGGTTTGGGTGCCATCACCAGACGTTCTGTACCTCAGATGTTAGAAATGACCAAAGCTTCCTCCTGTTGAATCCTTACACTTCCGGCTTTGGAGGTCATGAACCTAGAGCAGTGGAGGCACCAGCGGAGTTTTCCTAGTTTAGCATTGCATGGTTTGGGTGCCATCACCAGACGTTCTGTACCTCAGATGTTAGAAATGACCAAGGCTTCCTCCTGTTGAATCCTTACACTTCCAGCTTGGGAGGTCATGGACCTGGAGAACATTTCGCTTCTTCAGAGGGCTCCTGGCAAAGTTCTTAAAACTTTGGCGTTTCTCCCTCTACTCCATCCACCCCTGCAGGACAGATGCCTTTCATGAAGGAGGGAGTAGGACGCCAGTCCCTGCTCTCCACATCTTCTGTTCAGGATAAAGAGATACGATGCATCTGCGGTTCCCAACCTTAGGTCCACAGGTGTTCTTCGACGACAACTCCCAGAGTCTTAAAACTTTGGCGTTTCTCCCTCTACTTCACCCACCCCTGCAGGACAGATGCCATTCCCTTCATGAAGGAGGGAGTAGGACTCCAGTCCCCACTCTCCACATCTTCTGTTCAGGATAAGAGATACGATACATCCACGGTTCCCAACCCTGGGTCCCCAGGTGTTCTTCGACTACAACTCCCAGAAATCTTGGCCAGCGCAGCTCGTGGTGAAGGCTTCTGGGAGTTTTAGTCCAAGAACATGCGGGGAGCCAAGGTTGGGAAGCACGGATAAGGGAAAGACCAGGCAGCTGAATGTCACTCTCTTTTCTGACAGGCGCGTTGCAAGCATGACCCAGGGAAATCCCGGTGCAGCTCAGACCTGTAGCCCTTTTGGAAAAAAGAAGAAATGCAAAGACAAATATCTGGCAAAACACAGCTCAAGTAAGCACTTGATTTTTTTCTTCTTCTTCCAAGCTTGGAATTGATATTTTGGAGGATAAAAATTGCAGAAATCAGACCTCTCACCCAGGGAGATTCTGGGATTCATGGTCCAAAAAAGTAACTTTTCCTACCTCTGCTCCCTTCTTCTCAGGATGGTTAAGCACCTGCCTTGCACACAAGCTGGTCTGTTGGTTTATTGGATTTATTTATTTAAAATATTTTTACCCTACTTTTCTCCTTAAAAAGGGCTCGAAGTGGCTTACATCACCTCTATCCAGCCTCTCTCCCAAAAATGGGACTCGAAGCAAGTTGCAGTCATAATTCAGCATGCCATGGAGACACCAGGCAATAAATAATAAATGACCACTAATAATAAATGACCACTAAAATTAGGTTTTTAAAAGAGGATTAAATTAAAAGTCCAACTTCAAGCATTTAAAGACACAATTCAAGAACCGATCGCTAAGAAGAGTGCAGCATTCAACTTGGTAAAAAAACCCTGCCATTAACAGCTTCTCCGTTGCATACAGAGGATTGAATAAAAAGCTCCACCTTCTAGCGGATGGCCAACAGGAGAGGGGCCAGACCTGGTTCCCTCAACGGGGTATTCTTGGTGGCTTCTATGGCCTATGTCTGCTGGGGTTTGACTCAGGACAACATAAGAGAGGCCTGTGAGGTCCCGGCAGAAGTATGTGACATTTATGGGGCACAAGATAGAGTGAAGGGAACGAATTTTGGATCATTTTAAAAGGGGATCACTTTAAATCCGGAAATATCAAGGCTGTTTGTGGTGAAAATCCAGTCGTAGATCATCACGCTGCAGAAGGCTGATGATGTCATCAACGACTGTGGGTTTTTGTAAGTTAAACATTTCTGATCCTCAGGTCTTGAGATTCCTTTGAGACCCCTTTCATCCTGGTGAAGCTGTTAAGGGGGGCGGGGCACAGGAATCAAGAGAGGTCTTTAATTTCTAAAAACCACCTCCACCACCTATAAAGTCAATTCTAGCAGCAGCAGTTTTCAGAAATTTTAGAGACATCCACCCCTATCCTGTGTCCGCCAACATCTTCCCACAGGCTAAAGAGATCCTGTAAACACAATGAGGCCTTTGGGGGTGGAAGGGCTCAGAAATGTGTACTTTATGGAAAAAAAATACCAGCTGGAAATGTTGCCAGCCTTACACGGTGTGACATTCTGCTAGTGGATTTCACTCAGTGTCAACTAAGGGCAATGCTTGTCTATTATCTCCAGTACTGGAAGTCATATCCCCTTTAGTATGTGTTAGTGGGGATGGAGAGCTGGACCATAAAGAAGGCTGACCGCTGAAGACTTGATGCCTTTGAATTGTGGTGCTGGAGGAGACTCTTGAGAGTCCCCTGGACTGCAAGGAGGTCAAACCTATCCATTTTGAAGGAAATCAACCCTGAGTGCTCCCTGGAAGGACAGATCCTGAAGCTGAGGCTCCAATACTTTGGCCATCTCATGAGAAGAGAAGACTCCCTGGAAAAGCTCCTGATGTTAGGGAAGTGTGAAGGCAAATGGAGAAGGGGACAACAGAGGACGAGATGGTTGGACAGGGTCATCGAAGCTACTAACATGAATTTGACCCAACTCCGGGAGGCGGTGGAAGACAGGAGGGCCTCGCGTTCTCTGGTCCACGGGGGTCACGAAGAGTCGGACCACAACTTAATGACTAATCAACAACACTGGGGATGGGGAAAAATCTCCATGTTCTGATGGAGGGCTTCTGTGGGATGAGAACGCTGGACAAGACAGGCTTTTGGGCTGATGTAGCACAGCTTTCTCTTCTTTTTAAAGCAAAGATCAGAAATGTATGAACTTTAAACTTCATTCAATCTTAAATCACCTCTGTTAAATGTTCCCTCTCGTTTTCTTTTTAGTTTTCGATCAGCTGGACGTGGTGTCTTACGAAGAGGTGGTGAGACTGCCAGCTTTCAAGCGCAAGACCCTGGTGCTAATAGGTAATCTCGTTTGCCACATTAAATTTTGTAATCTGTCAATCCCTGTTGGCCTTTTTGGTGGGGTAACTAAGGGATGAGAAACACATGGCATTTGTTACTCAAAAGACGCTCCGGTAGCCAGCGGATCATAGTGATGATGAACGTGGATCCCTTTGGATGTTGGGTTTCGGATTCTACCATCCCCTGTAACTGGCCGTACTTGCCACAGCTGGTGAGAGTTGTAGTCTGAAACATAGGGAGGGCTACCTGTCCCCCCCCCCAGTCCAGGCGACACAAATCAAGCAGCAAGAACCATTGAGCCATCAGCAGCCATTGAAACATAGGGAGGGCTACCTGTCCCCCCCGCTCCCAAGTCCAGGCGACAGAAATCAAGCAGTAAGAAACATTGAGCCATCAGCAGCCATGTTCTCCCATCTGCCTATTGCAGGAAAAGGACTGAATTGACAGTCCATATAGATTTCCCCCTTGTAGAAACTAGATGCTAGGGCAAGGGCTCACAGTGGGTTGCTATGTGCCATGTTTTTAGGGTGGTGGTTATGGAGGAGGGACCTGTTGAACCAGGGGCTGCTTCAGCCTAGAAATCCACGAGTATTAGCTCTATTTCTGACCCTTTAAAAGACCTGCTCACCTGCATCTCCTGCTGTGAAATGAGTTTGTAAGCTGGTTTTTGGGCTTGTTATTTTTATTTAGCAAGAGCTGACACCATTTTGCTGCAAAGCAGGGTCTGGGTGAATGCATGGATCAAAGTGAGAGAAAGTGGGAACTGTAATACAGTACTTGAAGCTGCAGAGGTGGAAGATTAGTTCAAAATTACAAGGCAAAAAAAAAATCTGCAACTACACTGTCAAGAGTATCAGAGAAATTATGTCTTTCGCATGCTGACTTTCTGCTTGCAGAGATGTCCTAGATTTCTCCTTGCAGGTTGTTGTTTTTTTAAACATAGAATACTCATTAATTAGTGCTTTCTTTCTTACTTACTTGATCCCTTTCCTCCATAAGTCTGAAGTGACTGGATGGGCCACTTGTTTCTCCTCCCCCAAAGTGGGACACCCTTAAAATGGCTGGTCCTTTGCACTTGCTCTGATGGGCCTTAAGGCAATGTCTAGAGGGAGAGGATAACCCAGGAATCCCACTTTAGCTTCTGTCTCTGCATTGATAGGTGGTCATGTATCTTCTCCTTCTTCTTCATTGCTTCCCCAGCTTCTGATACTCAAATTAAAACAAACAACAACAAACATACAACCCTCCCATGATTCTTCATTGTACTCTATACCTTGCTATCATTCCCTCTCGTGGCACTGAATTGAGATGTCCTACTCGTTGAATGAACTGAGACCTTAAAGATACTTGATTTACAGAGGAAAATATTCATGATCTCTGGGTGCACAAGCTTCCTGAAGTATTCCGAAGCAATTACCCAGCATTAAAGGACACGGATAAGTCTCACGGAGGCGAATGGGGCTTCCTTCCAGGCCAGAAGGTGCCTTGGGACGTCAGCCTTGCCATAGGAATGAGTGCTTTTGAACCCACAGCCACGCTCAGAGGGGTCGCCCAAGGGGAAGTGCAGGAAGGGGAAGAGATTGGAAACGAGAGAGGAGGGATGGGCAGAGAGGCCAAGAAAGAATTGAGCAGCTGTTCTCCCCCTTTTGTGGCATAGTCCACGTTTCCTCCTTACCAGGTTCCGATCTTTTCCCAGAACGTCCAGACTCTCCACTTGTCAGCATCTGTGATCCCAGCAGGTCCATTATTCATGGTGCAAATGGGTGAAGAGGGTTTTGATGTACTTCATTTTTCCCCCAAAAGCAAGGGTAGAGATGTGTGTATGCAGTTGTTTTAAAAAGGCACATTGAGTAAACAACTATGCATTTTCTGGGCAAGAGGATGATGCAGTGTACTGGGGAAAAGCAATGTCTACTGTGGCTGAAGGCACTTGGGGAGGCTAAGGAGCAGGACGGGCTACGTTGGAGTTGGGCTAGCATCGGCTTTACTGTCTCCTTTATCCAACATAAATGGACTCTTTTTCAGGCCAGGGAGAACATGACATGAGCTCAGTTTCCTCACATCGTTTCTCCCTCGCTCTTTCTCTTTTTGAACCAGGGGCTAGCGGAGTTGGACGAAGCCATATTAAGAACGCCCTGCTCAGCAAGAACCCGGAGAAGTTTGGCTATCCCATTCCATGTGAGTAGTGTAAACAGAAAACCTTGTTCTGTCCCTGGCCTCTCCAGTGAAAAAGGATCGAGGAGCAGCTGATGCCAAAGACCTGGAAACTCTGCAAACGGGATGGAGAGTCCAAACGGACAAATGCGAGGCCAGAGGTAGACCTCGGCCCAACCCTCCCATCACTTGTCGCCAGTGGAGTAGTACACAGTTGAGAGACGTTAGGAGGTGCACTCTAACAGTACCTGTGATGCCTTCCTGCAAGTCCTCCACAATTTTGTTTCCTTGTCCCCTGGCTTTGTTGTTGTTGTTTAGTCGTTAAGTCCGACTCTTCATGACCCCATGGACCAGAGCACGCCAGGCCCTCTTGTCTTCCACGGCCTCCCGGAGTTGAGTCAAAGTCAACTGCCTTATAGTGACATTACAGTGGAACCTCTACTTAAGAACTTAATCCGTTTTGGAATGGTGTTCTTAAGTTGAAACGTTCTTAAGTTGAAGCAGAATTTCCCATAGGAATGGACTGAAAACCAATTAATCCGTTCTGGCTGTTTTTTTGTTATGTAGAGGTGCGTTCGTACATTGAAGCATTAGTTCCCATAGGAACTAATGCAAAGCTGGTTAATACGTACTCTACCACTAGGGGGAGAAATTTTTTTTTTAACCTAAGATGACCTAAGGTTAAAAAAAGAGCAGGAAAGTTTTTTTTCCTGTTCTTATCTTGGATTTCTGTTCTCAAGTAGAAGCAAAATTAAGCAAATGGAGCGGTTCTTAAGTGGAATTGTTCTTAAGTAGGGACGTTCTTAAGTAGAGACCCCACTGTAATTGGATTTTCAAGGCGAGAGGGTTCATTGAGGATTGGCTCTCCTGTTGCCACCGCCATCCCTCCGTAACACAAGTCAGTTAACCCAGTGAGGTGGTTGAGCAATGGTTTCCAGAGAGGGTACGTTTTTGCTGAAGCCTGTTGAGCTTCCGTCCTCCACCAGGACTCAGCCGGATATCCGTCTCCCCTGCCTGGTGGCCTGAGAAAGCATAGCAATACCAAAACTCCACTTCGAGCGATCTGTCCACCATGCCACGCGGTTGCTAAAGGGATTTGAAGTTTTGCATCGGCTAAAACCCTTCCTGTAAATTTAACAGGGAATGCATAATTGCTTCTTAATGGGGTAAAATCGGCAGCCGGTGCACTACAGTGGCTGAAAGACGTGGAGGTAGACTGGAGTTCAGTTGTGTTTCCGTCCCCCATCCCCCAGGAGCCCACCTGCCCTTTCCAGCTTGCCTCCCAGCAACCCCCAGCTTTTGTATCATCTCTTCCTCCTTACAGACACTACCCGGCCCCAGAAGAAGAACGAGGTGGATGGGAAAGATTACCATTTTGTTTCGACAGAGGAGATGACGAGAGACATCTCTGCCAACGAGTTCCTGGAGTTTGGGAGTTTCCAGGGCAACATGTTTGGCACCAAGTTTGAGACGGTGCACAAGATTCATGAACAGGACAAAATTGCTATTCTGGACATTGAACCACAGGTAAAGAAGGCTGTTATTCCCTTCCCTTCCTCCTTTTAAAACTATATTTCTCAACACTGTTCCCTTTGGGTAAACATAAAAAAATCTCACTTTTCCCTTGCAACTTGCACCCCTTAATACTGGAATTTAAACAGAGGGTGGGATGGGGATAATGGGTGAGTGAGTGTTATCCTCTGCACACTCAGCATAGCACTGCTGGAGAAAAGGTTGATTTTGGAGCTATCACTCTGAATAAAGGTACACAGTGGCACCCTCCCCATCAAAGGAATTCTACATAACCCTGTAATTCAAGAGCTGATAGGTGCACCATGGTCCAATTTTTCTTATTTTCTAAATAAAAATATAGAGTATACAAACTGATCTACTTCACCATTGCTTATATCCTCTGAGAGCACCTTTATAGCTTTAAAAAATTGCTATTCTGGACATTGAACCACAGGTAAAGAAGGCTGTTATTCCCTTCCCTTCAGCGTCTGTCATTTGACCTTTATAGCACCTTTATAGCTTTAACTCAAAGATGGGCTGCTTGTAGCCCCTTAGCACTCCTGCCCCAAAGTTACCGCAGAACAGCCATTTTGCTTTCCAAGGAATATGGAGGAGCAAGTTTGAGGACCCTCATGGAACAAAAATGGCCTTTAAAAAAAAAAGAAAGAAAAAAATGTTTGGCCACTAGAGGGGATAGAGTGGTTTTGCAATAGAAAAATTTTTTTTTTGAAAGAAAAACACTGGAGTTATTGAAGCACCCCTCCAAGGTCCAGGGATGGGTATATGCTCTCTCCCTGGTCCTCTTGAGATCACTGACCCCTGCTTTAATACATGACAAGTCAATGTAAGGTGCAGAAAGGAGAGTGCTCAGGAAGCAAAGTCTCCTGTAACCCACACCCTGAGATACAGGGAGAAGAGCTGAAGTGGAAAAATTATGAAACGGGCCTAAAAGAATTAGCTTTTCAGACTTTGCAGGTGGCTGCAAAGCAGTTCATCTCTGATTTCAGTAATCAGACTTTTTGAAGGCCATTTGTATCCCCCTCTTTCATAGTTGTTTGAAATTGCCCCACAGCCGTTCCCCAAATAGGGATTATAACCGTTTGTAAAAACTGTGCGGAGGAATCCTACAGCTTGAGGGGGGGAAAGTGAAGGGTACAGATTCTGAGGGGGGGGTTCCTGCCCCATTTGAGCACCTTTTGACAGTCGTAATGGCTGCCTCCGTGTGACCCTGTTGTCCCCTTTGTGACAGACGCTGAAGATCATCCATACGGCCGAGTTCTCCCCTTTCATCGTGTTCATTGCTCCCACCAACAAAGGCAATCAGGTAAGAGGTGCTTTGCTCTTACAAGGGTCACCCCTTGATGACATGTTTTGCTAAATGGACAGCAGGACCCCATGCAAAGCTTGTGAGCAACTTAAAGACATATTTTCATTTAGCATATTCCCCCAGATGTCTGGCTGAGGAAATTCCTGCAGACTTCTGGGGGCTTACATCCACAAATTCTGAAAATCCCATGCCTTGTGATCACTTCTAGATCTGAAATATGAGGGGAGGGGGTCAAGGCCTCCTAGAGGACAGTGAAACTGGCTTCAGTCTCTCCAAATCTGCCCCCTGCCTTAAAATGTCACAAACACTCTTTTGATTTTGTTACAGCGAATTAAGCTGGCTACACTGGCTTCAGTCTCTCCAAATCTGCCCCGTCTTAAAATGTCACACTCTTGATTTTGTTACAGCGAATTAAGCTGGCTACCCCCTTTGAGTTTAGGGCAAGTTCCCCACCTCACAGAGCTAATACCTGCATCTTCCTTTCCTTTCCTGTGCAGTCGGAAACTTTGCAGCAGCTTCAGAAGGATTCAGAAGCCATCCGGAGCAGATACGCCCACTACTTTGACCTGTCGCTCGTGAACAACGGTGTCGACGAGAGCCTCGAGCAAGTCCAGAAAGCCTTTGAGTGTGCCTGTAGTTCTCCACAGTGGGTTCCCGTTTCCTGGGTGTATTGACTTGGTTGGGTGCTAGCATAAATTAATTTCCAGACTACTCCCCCCCCGCCACCTCCCTACAGCATGTGGAGGACAAGATGGGTCAACCATTCCCCAGCTAGGCACCTTGCCCCACGCACCCGCCTTTTGCCCTTCGCCCCCAGAACAGCCCCTGCTCTCTTACTGGCGAGGCAGTTCACATACGTCTAAGCTGCAAACATGCTCAGCAAGACACACGTCTGTTTACAGTATGGATTTGTTACCCCTGTAGCCCACATGCCTCCCAACTGCCAGCAGGGAAGGCAAGAAGGGAGGCTAATCCTCCACCGAGAGCACATTGCCTTCGTGAGCGACATCAGCATCTTCAGGGAGAAAGCCATAAAGCTATGAATGCTGATAGAGGAGCTGAGCTCTCTTCTATTTTAACATCAAGCAGTATAGCCTCAGTTTCAATACGTTCTGTCAATCCCTTCAAATGACTTGTAAAGTAGGTGCTTCCCTGTAATCAGGCACAGCCATTCCCTTTGTTACATGGTGACCCACCTACATTGCAGTTAGTGGAGTTTGACTTCTACTATTGCTAAGAGGTACAGGAAACTCCTCCTGCGCCAACTCTGCCTTCCCAGGGTTGTGGGCAGACAGTTTCAAAGAGCAGCATACAGCTGTACATTTGGGCTCAGAGGCAGAGCCAGAGCAGAGGCTATCGTGTCTTAAGCCATGGTGGATAATGCAAGGCAAAAACCCATAATCAGGTCCTGGCTTGACCCCTTGCATGCTGTATCATGGCATATTCTGGTAAATTAGAATAGCTCACCTGTTGTGTGCAGGTAAAATAATCCATTGTTTTTGCTTCTACCAAAAAACACTGAATGACTCATTTCACCTTCCCTCCACCCACAAGCACAACTGGGGGCGGGGGCGTTCCTCAAATTAACCATCCCTACCTTAACACAAGATCATTTTGTGTAACTAACGGTGAAGCTGGAGGAATGCAAGCTTAAAGTGTATTAAGCCTCATATTTTTGAGGATGCAAAAAAACAACAACAACAAACCACCAAAACAAAACAGGCCATGGATGTGCAATAGAGACTTCTGGTTGAGTCTTATTACAGGGAGAACAACACGCAGCAATAAAGTGTTAACATATGCTGATCTGTGTGTGTGCCCTTCCTTTGCTAAATCTCCACCTCCCAGGTCTGAAAACTTTAAAAGGTAGAGATAGCATATTGAAGTTTCAGAATTCCTCTTGTGGGAGGCAATTCCGCTGGGCTAAGGGAAGCTGCCCCACCAGGTACTCTGAGAAAAATCTGCACCCCACCCACTCCTCAATTCCCAGCTACAGTTCCATCTAAGAAATCGCCTTCCAACCTGAAAAGTTGAGTCTCCCCCTATTATTCTCATCCTATGACACTCCTCCCAATTCCTTATTTTCTACCATTTCTATCATTTTCCTTTTTAAATGACACCCATTCTACTTTCTGAAAATCTGAGCTTGAGGGCCTGCTACAAGTAAAATAAGCACAAAAACAAGGAGGAGGAAGACCTGCAGATATGCAGGCAATGAGGACGGACCATTACTACTCAGGAGCCAAATTGACTGATCACCCTCTGCAATCGTCTAAGAAGTCACACAAACCAGTAACAATAAAATTTGTCATTTTTAATACAAAAAAATATGAAATGTTCCTCCTTTTAAGCCAACTTTGGTGTTCTGTCTAGAAATGGGGTTAGGAAGAAAAGAGGGATGGACTGGATTATGTTACTCTGCTTCTGGACAGTGACAGGAGTGTAGAGACCCCCAACATAATGGATTTGTAAGAACAAAGACATGGTCTCCCTCTTGAGGCCACAGAAAAAAGCTGGAAGGAAGGTCCTTTCTTTCTGCATCTGCTTTCTCTTGGGACAGGACAACTGGCTAGTGGGTGAACCTTCCTCCTGAACAGTCCGATTCCCTAAGCTTTACCCCATGTAGGAAGTCACAGGATCGATTGATTAATGGATGTATCTTAGGCCACCTGAAAAAGGGCAGTTTCTGAGGAACCAATGAGGAAAATGTTACCGCCAGCACTTCCAGAACTAAAACGCATGACTTTTTCTCAAACATAATTAACATTTGTTTAAAAAAACCAAAAACAACAGAAGGAAGTTCCGGCCTGAGAGGGAAATGGCTGAACCTATTCGTTGAAGGAGAGCACATGGGGCAAGTAGAAAATCTAAGCAGCCGCCTTCTCTTCACCCTCCACCAACAGACAAGCCGGCCTGATCATTCAAGCAGCTCTTTCGACATTCAAGCAGAGGGAAGTGTTAAGAGACAAGAGGCGGCTAACACTGCCAAGGCCAGGGGCACCGCCATCCCGTCCCCAGACCGAAAACTCCTCCTCTACAGTTCATGCCAACTTGTACAGAGAGGGCTGGACAGTTTTGGTTTGCCCTTGCTTCCTCAAGCTGCCCTTACAACAGGACAGTGGGGGCCCAACTACATAGGGGGGGCCACCAAACAGTGCCTTTCCTTTTCCTTTTTTGCACAGCAATCAGGACAGGTCTGTTTCCCCAATTGGGTCTCCACTGCCGTGAAGGCCCCGGGACTCTTACTACAACGGATGTGGCCGGCTATTCTGAACTCTCATCCATTTCTTGTTGTTTCTTCTTCTTTTTCTTCTTCTTCACACTCGTGTCACTGACCTAAGAAAGGAACACCATTAAAAACCCTCATGTGATGTCTAGAGAAACCAGATATTCTCGTCACTCCCAAGCTTCGACGTTTTTGCAGGAGTACTAATTTACTTGAACACACATTACGATCATTAAAATAACTGTAATTATTAACCAACCCTCTCAGCACCAAACCAGTTTAGAGCTTGCTCACGTACGATGGCTTAAAAACGAGCAATGACTTGCCCTTCGGCACAGGCCTCAAAAACATAACTTGATGCATCACCCTATTATTCTTCAACTGACAAGCTCACATATTCCCCAAAACCTCGACCATCCCAGAGTGATCAAGTGAAGTGCAATGTCGTATGTTAGAATACACCTTTTAAGGGTGCAAGCCAAGACTCCTAAGTGAGGCCCAAATTACGGCCGATGGATTACATATGAGACCTACCACTTCAGTCAGCTCCCCGCCGCTGTCAGCAGTCTCCATCTGCTTTTTCTCTTTCTTCTTTTTCTTCTTCTTCTTGATCTCTGCTGGCAGCTCCGGAGAGGCTGGGGGAGACGAGGCTGCCTCGCCCTGTTCGCCATCGCTCTCCATCTCCCTTTTCCTCTGAAAGACAAACGTCAGAGAACCTTTGATAAAGAGAAACAGGACAGGTTGCTTTGCAGGGAGATTTGCCTGAAGTGAGGCCAGAACTTTTAATCCAGGAAAGCTGTTGCTGTTACACCTCGAAAGCAGAGGGAACGTACAGCTTGGGTAGGAGTCTTGAGCATTCGGACAACGCTTTTCTTCTAGAAGCACAGAGATAGGTCCATGTAGGTGATGAACCCAAAGACTTCAAAATCAATCATATTAATGGGGGGTCAGGTTTCTACTCAGTGCCAGATGTGTTTATGAACTGTACTTCTTTATGCTGATGGTCAGCAGTATTGTTTGCTGCTTGAGGAAAGAGAAAACAAGGATGCCTCTCCAAGAGAGCAAGACAACATCCATTCTCCCACCACTGATTCCATGCTCATCTCTGCAGAAATGACCCAATGTAGGGAAGGCCAACGGCAGGACCAGTGGCTCCACCATTCCTCTGGCGCAAAAGGGCAGTGGCAATCTATTTGCATATGCTGAACTTTCAAGTATTTTTGTAAATGTGCAGCCTCTGAGGCAAACCAACCTTTTGCGGCCTCTCTGGCTCCACGTTGGCCACCTGTTCTAACTCTTTGTTCGCTGCAACACTGGAAGGAAACAAGAGGAGCCTGGTTTGAAATTTCCAGCATGTCAGATTTGTTATGTACAAAGCAACCCACACCCTCCTCACTCTTAATTCTTGTATTGAAAGCTGGTTGAAAAACTATATGCATACATAGGTCTAGCCCACAGCTTTCCAGAGCTTCATGTTGCAGGCTGACTCCCTCTAGAGCCACAGAAAGGAGACTGGAAAGGGATAACTGCCTGCACAACACACCCAGCAGAAGCGGTTCCCCCCTCCCTCGTCTCGCCCTTTGTGGCTTCCCCACTTGTATTCCCTGCTATGATCACTGTAGCTGGAGCATTACCTACTGTAATCCACATAGTCCTTCTTCCAAGCCTGTGGAGTTTTCTCATTGGGCTTTCCATGTGCATCCAGCAAACCTTGCTTGATCATCATCTTCTTCTGAGATGCCTGAGTGGAGGGTAAACAAAAGGCCTGACACTTCTGGATGCCCTTCGTTCACAAAGTCAAGGAGCTCTGAGAAGAGGCCAAGCAGCCACCTAACTGCAAACCCTTTTCAGAACCAGCTAAGGAGCACAAACTTTATAAAACCACAAGGAAGGTGTGGTGATGCCCCCAGCAGAGCCATCAGTCTTGGGTGATAGATCTGTGTCATCTTTGCCACAGAGGGCTCATGGAGTCTGTTTTTGACATCATGTGGCTCTCATCAAGACGGCGGTAATGTAGCAAATGTCAAAACCTGATCAAACCATTTCAGACTGTTTCTAAGGTAGTAAAGGAAAGGCTGGGCGTTTGAAATCAGCAAAAGCGCTGCTGAAGAAAGCCTGGAAAACTAGACACCTCTAATTTAGAATGACAATGAGCAGGCAGTAAGAAAGGGGGAAACAACACCCTGCAGGAGTGATTTAATACAGATTAAACATGCAAAAAGTTAAAGCCAGAGAATTGTCGAGGAGGAAGACAACCTGGCCTAGAAAGGAGAGCAATTCACTGCTCCATGGTGTAACTACTGCTCTCCCCAAAACAATCATATGGTCCAGCTCATCTAAGACTCACCTTTGGGCCAAGCCCCCATTTGCGAGGATAGGTGTCTCTTTCCATGATGACGCGTTTGATCTTTGCTACCACTCCGTGGTCACAAGTAGAAATCACTGCCGTAGTCATCAAGGCAACAGCTGCAAGGAGGCACGAGAGGAGAAACCGAATATTCAAAAGCAGAACACGGCATCTGTTGCTATGAACACATAAAATTGTGCTACGCGTTTGGAGCGGCTTTTCAATCTATCAGAATCTTCAATATTTGTGAGGTGGAGGATAAACCGATGCATCCTGTTATACATCAGCTCCGCCAACATAAGGTTTAGCAGAGGGCAGAGAGATGTGTAGCCGCTCTCCTGTTTCCTTGCCAGAGCCTGCAGAGTGGGGCTAATAGAAGCTACAACCCTGCAATACCAGGAGGGCTGCAGGCTCCCCATCTCTGCCTTCATCGTTTTCCCATGGGGCCCCTGCTCACCATTCTCTCCACAAAGCAGATCCCCTCCCCCCAGATAATCCTCGTGGGAGACATCAGCAGGCATCCAAAGAGCATGGCAAAGCAGGAGATAGGCAAGGCATAGCCCTCTTAAGCTGTAACAGAAGACATGATGCCCTTTCCTTGCAGGCTCAGGGCTGTCCTTATTCTGGAAGGCATGCTGGGGCAGGATGTGATCAGACCGTTTCACTCTTCTTGGTAGAGACAGAGCCCTATAAGAAGGGGCTCTGACCCTGCTTGCACTGCCCAGGCCCTGCCGGCAGCCTGCCAAACATCCCAGCAGCCCCCAGTAGAACACTGGAAGACACCAAGATGCCTGGAAGCCACACAACACGCAAGACCCTAGAACAGGACCCTGAACGTGGCAGGAAGGGCAGAGCAGCAACACTCAGAGAATGGATAAACGTCATCATCACTTCACATGTCGCCCCAAACAAGCACTTTGTACTGGAAATGTACCGTCCCAGAGTGGCCCTAGAAGAAGGCAATGATACACCACCTGAGTAGTCTATATTCAGAAAAACTGGAAAGGATTTGCCCAAGTCAGAACTGCAGGTAATTAATTAATAAGGGGAAATTTTTTCACTTGGATCGTTCTCAAGTTATTCATTTAGGGTTTTTTGTACCAAGCCCCCAATGTTTTACTACACTTTATATCTTAATACTAAAATAATACTAAAAGCAGCACAAAAATGAAGACATAAACATAGCAAAAACAGTACACTGTGAATACTACTCTTGGCCATTGTGCCAATATTTGCCTCCAGGTGGCTCAATAGAATAGGACTGTCCAATATTCAGAACACCGAAATCAAGCAGATACCACTCACTAGAACTGCCAGCTAACAGGAACACATACAATCATGTCCAAAAAACTGTATCAAGCATTCTTACTCAGAATTATTGACACTGACTGGCAGCAGCTCTCAACGATTTCTGGTAGGAAATCCTCCCTAGGTCTACTAAGGATCAGAGTAAGTGGCCTTCTCCTGCTAAAGGCACATGTGCTCTATCACGGAGACAAAACTACTTCACGAATAAGCAGTGGAGAGGAGCTGGAACGTGTCATTCAAATGAGAGCGCCTTGAGAAAACAAGTACAAACTCTTTAGTAAGAGAGCGTCTTCCAACAAGTTCCTGGAGACATGCAGGGAAAACTCTCACCAAAAAACACCAGTTATGCTGGGAAACAAACTTCTGTTTGTTCTTATAAGAACATACACAATTAAAGTGGTATATCACTTGTTTTATAAGAAAGATCTCGGGTTTGATATGAGGCACCCTCAGTTAAAATGATATTAAACAGCACACATGGAAGAGAGGACTCTGCTTGGGAGATTTTTTGCAGCCATTTCTCCATCAGAATGAACATTTCTGGACTAAGCAGAATCTCTGCCTCTCATGGCTGTATAATCCCCTCCTCTTGCACACGGTACAAAGTAAAGCATGGGCAAGACTGCTGGTTCTCACCTGTGCAGATAGCTTCTCCTTTTGTGGTGATCACAACAATTTCCTGATTGACTTCAATACCATCTTCATAGCGCAAGAGGCCAGGCAGCATGATCTTTGCCCCATAGCAAATGGCATTCACCTGAAGAGTAAAATGAAGAAACCAGCAGGAAATTTTAGGCCGAAGTGGTCAAAGGTGGTTAACCTGATGCTTACTATCAAGAGCCACCACTGTACAACTAGTACTGTTTTTCATGAAATGTGCACCAAGGATCTAGAAAATATACTCTCACAAAAAAAGTTTGCATACTCAATCAAGTAACAAAATTATTAAGATGTTGAAAAAATTTATTTCCTTTCTGTAGCAATCTTTAGTGGGTAGGAAATAAGGATTACAATAACTTAAGCCAAGTTCTTAAATATGGTCACAATTGTCTAACATGTATTACCAATTTAGCAACATACACAGAGATCTCATGCAATGTTTCCAGACTTCATTAATTGGATTAGGATATAAGGATAAAGATCTAATATTTATTCTCTAATGATGGCTTTTTGCACCTTTCACTTTAAGAATGGCAATATTTTCAGGGTCTTCATGATTCAATCCAAGATACAGTAACTTAAAGCAAAGCGTGCTGCTTATATACCACCCCAAAGCACTTCAAGCACACTCTGGACGGTTTACAAGTTAATTATGCAGGCTACACATTGCCCCCCCCCCCAAGCGAGCTGGGTACTCATTTTACCGACCTCGGAAGGATAGAAGGCTGAGTCAACCTTGAACCGGCTACCTGGGATTGAACCCCAGGTTGTGAGCCGTTTTGGCTGGGCTGCAGTACAGCAGTTTAACCACTGCGCCACAAGGCTCTTTAGCATACCAAGGGAGCATCAGCAAAGTACAAGACCTCCAAGGAAGACTAGCAAACTCTACAATTCCTCACTTCTAAATCCTCCTTCAGGCCTCAAGGAGCCAGAGTTCCTATTTTCACCAACTAGACCAAACTACTGAAAATGGGTACCAGTGAGCTTCCAAATGATGTCAAGAATAAAACACAGGAGACTGACCTCCTGGAGCAATCGTTTTGCAAACCACACCCACTTCTGAAAGATCTGTTTTCGGCCAACAGATCCAATCCATGCAGGTAGGAGATTAACTGCCTACAAGGAAGTCTGGGAAGAGATGGCAAGGGAGCTCCACATGGAATGTTAAATTAACGGTATTTATAAAACAATTATGACTTTGCATGTAATTAAAATGTTTTTAGCTCAATGTCTCATACAGGTATCCCCACTGTAACAATACTGTTCCTTCTTTTTCAATAACCTAAGAAGGTGGCCACAAAACCCATTCTCCGACATAGACTGGGCATTTTTAAAGTGAACAAAATTCATTTTTTGATATCTAGAGATTTTTGTCTCCGGTGCTTCCAGTTTATTTTGGTTTATACTACAGTAGTAAGAAACACTCCATAGAGCCTAAGAAGGTGGCCACAAAACCCATTCTCTAACAGAGACTGGGCATTTTAAAAGTGAACAAAATTCATTTTTTGACATCTCGAGACTTTTTGTCTCCGGTGCTTCCAGTTTCTTTTGGTTTATACTACAGTAGTAAGAAATACTTCATAGACGACCAAAATATTGCACTGCTAATATGGTTAGGGTCCCAAATGGCGCTAGCGTTCTTGGCATACCAAATTTAATATTGCACTGCTAATATGGTTAGGGTCCAAAATGGCGCTAGTGTTCTTGGCATACCTATTTTTTGATTTCTAATCCACCTCCTTATACAACAGTCTTAAAACAGCGCTGGCAAACCATTAAGTAAAGGGAGTGACAGTTATGTAATGATGCCTTTCCTGAGCATATAGATTATTACTTAAAACCTCCTTTAAAACTTTTCTTAAAAGCAAGCATGCTTTTTTCCTATAGAATGTTTAACCAGAGGGCATTTTATGCATTTTGACAGACTAGAAACACTATAAGCTCTCAACTATGGTCTTTTTCAGCAGTTGACAGCCAGTGTAAATCATCATCACTAAACTAGATGTTTGCTAATCCAATGAAAAGGCACCCTGTATATGTCTGGAATGTCAGCAATCCGGACCACTTTTCTGGAGGAATAAGATACCGTATGCTGACTGCGATACCTTCCCATGCACAGGTGGAGAACTCACCGCACTGTCCTTCATAACAAGACGCTTGTGGGACGTAAGCAGCTTTTCCAAAGGGTAGATGACTCTTCTGAGGTAACTTTCATCTTTGTTGTTGTCATACTGCCACTGAGCATCCAGGACATCATGCATGGTTGCCATGTGGTCCTAGAGGATGACACCCATCCCACTCCACCATGTTAGAACATCTGACAGGAAGGAAGTCAGACCAAAGGGAGAGCCGCTCGCTTTGACTGGCAGCAGCTCCCCAGCATGTCAGGCAACAGCTAGAGATGTTAGCATTTGGTTGTGGCACCAACGGCACGTAAACCATTTGCTCTGTTATGAAGCAACCCAATTCACAAGCCACTAGGAATATAGCTTGGAATTGCTGGATAGCTCAGTGGGTTAGGTCTCTGGCTGCTGGGAGTTTGATTCCCCTCTGTGCCTCCTTGACGGGCTGGGCTGATGACCCACAAGAGTCCCTTCTACAGTTCTATGATGATGATGATTAATTACATTTCTATCTTCATCTCAAGTGAGCTAGTAGTTAAGACCTCTCCCCCCCACACCATTATCCTCACAACAAACCTATGAGGCAGGCAGGCAGAGATATTGACTAGCTAGCCCAATATTACCCAGTCAACTGCATAATTTGGTGGGGACTTGAACCCGGATCATCCAAGTCTTACACTGGCTCTTCACTACAATAAGACTATATAAAACAACATTCTGTCTCATTAACTGTATTCCTGCAAAGGCAGATGTACTTAGAATGATACAAACAAGTAGCACGCCAAGCCTTTGGTAATCCCTGCTTAGCTACAAGCTTTCGATTTCTGCAATTCGTAAGATGTATACATCCTCTCAAAACTCAAGGACACTGAACCGAAACCTATCTTCATAGGGAAAGAGGCAAGTATTTCAAGACATGCTTTGAACAGTGCATACGCCCCTTTGCACAGGATGCATCCACAATGAAGACGTCATCCCACCCCTTCAGAGACCTGCTAAGAGCTTGTAATTTGTGTTCAGCCCCGGCAACGGAAGACGAGAACAGAGGCTAATCTGACATTAGGTTCTATACAAGCCACAAAAGATGGGCGGAGATGCACCGTGGATCACTCAACTCTAGCTTTTTAGTCACTGTAGGACAGAACTTCAAACAGGTAATCCTAAAATGCTGTGAAATAACTTTGTGGGCTGGGAGAGAAAACAAGGAGGAAAGCAAAACTTTCCTTCTCTGTGGTCCTCCCAGTTACTTACTGTCCCAAAGTTTAATTACCAGAACAGGGGAGGCAGCCCTGGACTGAACTCAACACTCTGGAAAACAATGAGGGTGTGCACCAAGGGATCCCCCTCCCCAAGGAACTCACCTTCTCTCCCATGACCCCAGAGCGCACTCGCCGGAGCTCCTGCATCTGACCTCCAACCCCCAGCAGTAAGCCCAGGTGCACACACAGCGTTCGAATGTAGGTCCCTGCTTCACAGCTCACCCAGAAAATACCTGAGGAAAAAACAGTTAATGCAATGCCCAATTAAAGCATGTATTATCTGTAAAAGTATCAGTAGAATGTATCTTGGTGAGCCATCAGTATTGGGTGATAGATGTATGTCATCTTTGCACTGAGGGCTATGCTACATGTTTTACATCATTTGGCTCAGAAAAACATCTTCAAAACACTGGCCAGAATCCTATTAGTTATGCCAACTGCATATCTCAATCAGCATATATTCGAATGGTGAACTGCTGTGTGTTACTAAGCCAGCATATGCATTCCCAGTTGCATGCCAAATCACACAATGTCAGTTTATCAAAGGAGTCACCCAACCCATTCTGAATGAGAAGTTACTTCATTACCCAATCGTCTTTCTGGATCATATTCTATCAACTTGCTCTCATAAATGGTTCGGACTCTCAGCTGTCTTTTCACTGCAGCGATAAGTGGGGGGCGCTGGAAGAGCGCACCGGTCAGAGTTTCTATTGCCTTTAAAAAGAAACAAACCAGATAGCAATGTGTTAAAAATTCAAAACAGAATGAGAATTCCAGTTATTTTCCCCAAACACACCAATGTTCATTTTTATCAGTAGTTAAGGATTTGCTGGAGACATAATATCAAGAAAGCTTAACTACGGTTTGGTGTGAGGTCTAATTTTATTGACTCTGTACTCTTATATCAGGGCTGTCTTTATTACACTTAACCCAGAGGAAAATTAAATGAAAACAATTAAAAAACAATGTTTCTTGCTCAAATTACAGAAATATAAAACTAGGTCTTGCTCCTTTTTTTTACTATTACAAATCTTGGTCCTTAAAGAAACAAAACAACAATAACACTTGACCCGAGAGGCCAGAAAAAGCAGAAGAGGTGCAGAGCAGGACTGTTAAATAAGGACTGCCAAAAACTCTGACCCTAGAGTAGGCCTACTAAATCAGTGGTGACTGCATGAGCCAGATTCTCTACATGTTCCATCAATTCAAATGGCCATACTCTAGTTGCAACTGACTACGCTAACGTTCAGATGAATGCAAGTTTAGGATGCTTGATTTGCCATGAACGTTATGAACTTATAAGCACTATGTGCTTTATTACTATCACCCCATGATAATTAAACTGTGCATATTTCTGCTGATGCCAATTGCTTTTGAACAGCTAAATAAAAATATAAGGTGACAGCAGGTGAAACATAATTTCCTACCTAGCAGAGACTTACCCTTGAAAGCTGAATCTCACTCTCAATTGCATTGTGCAGCCGAACAATTCCCACATACTCTTTGCCTGGAAGACGACAAAAGAGTAGTCAGGAGGGGCCACTTGGATTATACTGTTTTACCACCGTGTAGGTGATCCTGCCATTTCAATGGTTAACAAGGCACCCACATTCCGAACAAGCAAATGGGGTACCTGCACTCTGTTGAGACTTGACCAGACGGGTTGCCCGCTCAATGCATACTATCAGACACCCGGTCACTTTGGGGTCCAGGGTACCACTATGCCCGGTCTTCTCAACACGGAGGATGCGCCGGATCCAGGCCACTACTTCGTGGGAAGAAGGATTGGAAGGTTTATCCAGGTTGATGAAGCCTGTCCTAGGAGAGATTCACAGGGGCCACCGTAAGCCATTTGATGCTTATTCTTGAAAGAACCAAATTAAAATTAGGACCTGAAATCTATCAACTCAGAAATAATGTTGCAGCCTAAAGATCAGCAATATTAGCCACTGCAGACATCCAAACAACGTTCATTGTAAAGAACTCTTCTATACACCGTGAGTACATTTCTGGCAGGTGAACCAGAGCATGCCTGCAAGAACACCGCCTTAGTCCTTTCAAACTTAGCCTGCTCCTAGCTTAGCTAATTAGCATTTCCTCACAAATGATTTACGTGGGGCAGCTGTACCTATGGCACAATATGCCAACCAGAAGTGTGTGTGATGAAATTCCAGTTGCTGACTGATTCAGATATATAAAATACTACTTTATATTAGACCCTTTGTATACAGAGTTTAATATAAAGTAACACACAAGGAATTGTCACCTGTAGACCAATACACACAAACAAACTTCAAGAAGGTAAGTGGGGGCAGTGGAACTCTACTCCCAGTTGGGGCTGGTGTAAACCTGCTCTCCCAGATGTTTCACAGCCTTCCTCCACTCTGCTCTCTGGGTTCCATGAAGCAACTGCAGAAAGAATAGCTTGGGAGAAAATCTACTGCTAACGTTCTCGTGACTTTACCTTACATACTCAGCAATTTCTCTTTTTAAGGGATTACAACCAGAAGGAAGGGGTGTGTAATGCGCTGTCCTCACATTCAGCTTGTCAAAATTCTGTAAAATTCAAAGCAAACAAAAACAGTTTATACACCATAAAGAAATGTGTTGGGAGCCTATATAAAAATATTATTTTTAATCCATTCAAGAAAGGACTTCCTTAGGTTCAACACTTATTGAAAGTTTAAGCATACCGCTTAGCTCTAAAATTACTTCAAGCTATTTCTACTGGATCTTATTTCAACATTAATCTGCCAGGCTTGGTTTCATTTTGCTAAAACCTAATACTTAAGACATCTAAACACTACTCACTCTGAAACACAAGCATTTCCAGGACCTTTTTAAAATGGTGCACTGGTTTGCTCTCAACCATAAGAACCCACAATTCACATTTTCTTTTTGTCAACAAAATTAAGGGCATATTTAACAACTGACTTTAATACAATTGCAACAATGCTAACTACATTACTTTCACTTCTAAAAATATCTTGGTAGGCTCTCTAGAGCAGCGATTCCCAACCTTTTTGGAACTGCAGCCCAGTTGGGGCAGGCAGGCTCCATGTGCGGGGGCACCCCCACGCTTGTGGGTGGGTGTGTTACGCTTGTGTGCACGCCCACGAGCGTGACACGCCCACTGTGCATGCATGCGTGGGGGATCTGTCTCTGTGGCCCAGTCCTGGGAAGCCTACGGACTGGCACCGGGCTGCAGACTGGGAGTTGGGGACCCCTGGTCTAGAGCATATAGACAATTTTTAAAAATCTTATAACTGCAGAACTGGAAAGAACATTATATATCACTGAATCCAGCTCATGTAAAAGAAGCACAGTGGGAAATTGAACTTCCAACATCTGGTTTCTCAGCCAGACCTAAACCACTTGAGCTACATAAGCATGTTCCAAAAAGAGACATCTTTACCTTGAGAAGCAGAGGCCATTGTGATGTGTCCAGCTGAGCCACTCTAGATTCAGGTTTGATGAGAAACTCTTCTGAATGTTGTATATCCTAAAAGGAATCAAAGGTGTGAAGGACTAGTGAAGAAAAAAGTATCTCTCAAATACTAGAGGGGCACAGGCGCCACCTGATGGAAGAAAAGTAACTCAATGTTTCTTACTAAGATGGGTGAAACAACTCTGAGCAAGATCAGTGGATTTGCAATACTTTATAAAGCAGTGGCTTCTACCTTTTGTCTTTAACTCATCAGAAATTATGGTACACTTCAGTCAACATTGGGAAAGAAAATGACTAGGACTGCCATCTTCAAATTGCTCAGTATTTTCTCCTTGCATTCCAATTTATTACCTTTTAAAAGAGAACTAATTTGTCTACAAGTCTGAAGAGTCTATACTGCTATGACAACCAAATATCACTGTAGTTACAACCAAAACCTCTAATATGATCATGGGACAGGAAAGGGTTTCTACTACCAGTGGTCTGGAGACCACTGTGTATCTGACAGAATAGCATGAAAAAGAAAATGGAAAACAGAAAAAGTGCAAACCAAGTACCTCCATCAAGCAGTATCTACAGTGTGCAAAAAGTATAAAAAAACTTTCCTGTAAATGAAGTTCAACAATGCAAAGAAAGCAAGTGAGATAACTAGATAACACTCACAGCAACATCTTCATCAGGTAATGATTTCTTATCTTTTTTCTTCTTGTGTTTCTTAGAAGCAGAACCTATAGGAAAACAAAATAAATGTAATTACAACTCAAAATGTGAACACAAACTTAGAACCAGCATCTGGTAAACTAGGAGTTTGTTATAGAAAAGTTTGCATATAGCATTCTTTATTAAAGGGGGAGGGGAAGGAAAACCGGATTACTAACAGCCAAGGAAGGGAATGTTAACTAGCAATGTTAGGCTCAGTAGGAACAAAAATACTTGGAAACATCTACATGTGAGGGATGTTCAGCTTAGATCAATGTTTTCCTAAAGGAGGAGAGAATGGTTGGCAGTTTACTCTGAGCTTAATAGTCATTACTAGGTTCGCTTTCCTGCCAAGAGAGCTTCCCTTCAGAGACAAGCACCTGCCTCCCCCTGCTTCAAGCAGCAACCTGGTCTACTTGGAGCTGAGGCATATCAGATTAAAGCAGGTGGGGTTCCAATGAAATGCTATGACTGTTACCACCCACAATCTCTATTCAACTTTTGCTAAAGCAGCAACAGCATTTCCAGAAACTGTAGAAAATCAAGAATTGGGCCAATGGATATAAATTATTGAGGACATAGTGGAGGTAAAGGAAAAGGCCTCCAGAGCCTGTGGCCATTTTCCTGCAGGCAGTTATTTTCTGTAATCTAGCATATAAAATGTAATGGCTAAGCCAATCAAAGCATTAAAAATCCAATTTAAAAATACTGGACAAACGTGCTCTTTCTTTAGCGGTTCAGTGCTGCCTGCTGGCAGGAACTGCTACCATCGGCCACATGGCCTCACGCCATGTGCGACAGACATCATCACACCAACGGAACAAAAAAGCACAGAAAAACGGTCTGACTGCGAATCACCAAGAGTGCAAAGCACAGAAGGTGGGCAAGCCACCCTTTGATTCCCCCAAAATAACGCCTCTAAGGCAGGAAGGATTGCAAACTCGGATGAAGCCTCCCGCAACCTCACCCACTTCCCGCCTTTTTTCTTGCAGGGAAAAGAGCCACACAGGGAGACAACGAAGGCGGTGGAGAGCCAGAGACGCCCCGATTTCAAAAAGCAAGCCCCCCCCCCCCACAATGATATACATTCGCTCCGAATAGCACCCGGTTCGCCTCAGCAGCCGGTGGAGGGCAGGCCCCAGGGCGTTCTGATGTGCTCCCCTTTCCCTTGAGGCCCGAGAGCCCCGCCGGCCCGCCTCGAGAATATTAAAAAAAAACTACCCTCCTATCTCCCCTCAGATAGAAACTCCGAGACTCTTCCTTGCCCGCTTTCCTCGAGGGCAGCCGCCCCGGAGGCCGTTGAAGGGAAGCAAAGCTTAGCCTGAGGGCCCCTGAGGACCTCTCGGGACCCCGAGGCTCAAGGCCACGGCCCCGCCTGCCTCACGATCCGAGACCGCCAACTTCACCCAGAGAGCCGCCTCGGCACCCACCTAGCCCGTCCGCCATCTTGCCTTTCGCCACGCGCTGCTCCGCACGCACGCGCGCGCGCACCTGCCCTCCCGCTCCGGCCCTAAAAGAGAAAGGCCCCGCCCTTCCACTTCCGGCCAATATCCCGACGAGCCGCGCGCCGCAAGAGGCGGAGCGAAGGACGACCCAGGAACCATAGAGAACAGCCTGGCGAGTTTCCTCAACCGCCGGTGGAAAACAATAGAGTTACGAAAGGGTAGAGGCGTACGTAGGCAGAGCCGGTCAATCCGTGAAGGGAAGAAATGACGAGCGGCTGAAGGGAACGATCAATGTTCGAAGGAAAGAAGAAGGGGGGGTAGCTTAGTTGACGTTCCGAATTCTCCCGGCACACGTTCCTAACCGCTGCCAAAGAGACAGGAATGGCCCGGCGCTTCGGTTGCCATAGTAACGTCCCCTAGGCCGCTCTCCCCGCTCAACATCCGGGTACCGGCTCCTTCCCACGTGACGACCGCCGCCATTTCGAAGGGATTCCTGTCAGCGAGAAGAAGCGTCGCCCCCAGGAGATGCTGTCCGTCCCGGGCGCCGGC